TGGGAAGCTAATGTCAAATAAAAAAGAGTACCAATATTTGGGATTTTGACACCCAACTCTCTTCCCCTGATAAAAATCTAAGTTGTGTCTCTATAACATCAGAACCACTGATTGATTGAATTATAGGACCATGATTCCTCATCCTAAATCCTTTGTGACAGGTGTTTTTCAGGAAGCAAAATATTTTATATTTTATAAATTTGTTACTCTGTTACACAAGTGGGGTCTGTAGGATCATTTTGTAATCAAAGAAGGGTGTGCAGCAAAATGTATGGCTTATCAGTTTAGGTTAGTTTTTTGCCACCAAATGAGTTCACACTGATCATCTAAGACACGTTTGTATTTTAAAGTTTGTTTGGATATTAGAATTATAAACTTGTAAAATTGTGGACTTCATGATCAAATGGATAATTGGTGAATTTTATTTATAAAATTTCAAAAAGTCTTTTTAAAAATCATTTCTTTTTCTTACTGTTTCATCTTTCTTTTTTACTTACTTTCAGCTTGCTTCTGTGGTTTTTCTAAACAATAAATGAATAGTGGATATGTTTCAGTAAGGACAAAGAACATTGTGTATTTAATCTCATTTAACCTTAACAAAGGTCAATTTAATGGGATTATCTTTATTTCCCACGTGAGAAAGCTGCCTCATACGGTTAAACTTCTTGTGAAAATTTCCTTTGTGATGGAGCCACATTCAGAGATTTGCCATTTAAATTACTGGACTGCAAAGTCCCTGTGCCATGCTGCTTTCTTACCAAGAGGGCCAATGACTCAACTCATGGAATTAACGACATCATGTACATAGATCCCATTTTATACTTAGGTTAAAAATCTAAGCTGACTCTTGACAATCTCTTGTTAAAACACAAAATCTTTTTATAATAACCACCTTGAAAGAATGGAATTGAAATGGTATTTAATTTTAGCATAAATGCTAATGTCTAACAAGGTAACAACATAGAACTTTAAATAAACTCATACCTGGTCTAAGTAAAGAAGTCAGTACTTAAATAATATGCAAAACACATTTTGTAGGTATCCCAACATCAACCTATTGAGAATGGTCAAGAAGAAAATTCCCAGGGAAGTTCCTTTAAAGACTGTCTTGCAAGGCTCTTCAACTGGATAATGGGAATAAGCCACTGTGGACATCTTCAATTAAGGCAATAAACGTGTGTGCACTGGAGTGCACCGTGTGGGAGTTGGGTTGTGAAGCTAAGGCAAATACAGAGAACGTGTGTCCTTCTGTACAGGCTTCCATTTTAACCAAAAAGAATCTAAAAACTATACAGTTTGTTTATTCTTATCATCAGTCTTTCAGATATGTTTTCTTTCTCATTCAATGTGAATTTATCATTTCCTAACTAAATAACCCTAATAATGGCTCATTATAGCTATAATTGTGAACATTTTTCCAAAGTCCTTATTTTTTAATTCCCTATTTTAAAAGGGATATGTTGAATGGCAGGTTTTATCAGGTAGCAAGTTATTATCAAATTTTGTGTCACAAATACATGACAGCTTTGTTCTAAATAGGATCCTTACTATTAAATATTCATTTTCTATAGAGTTATAAAATAATAAATTAGGTATTCTCACATAGAACTTGACACATTGAAAGCAGACATGCTATAGACATTAGAATTTTCCAAATTTTAAAATCCAAGAACAGTTTTAAGAAACAAAACGCTTGTTTTTCCATGGAATCCCTGCACTCAAGGACTAGGTTCAGTATTTTGCTCACTGATTTGCTGTGGATTTGAATGAACCATTCTTTATGTAACATATTCTAATCTTCATCAAGTGGGCTCTAGCTCTGTCCTCTCCACCGTAAGCCTCTGAATGTGCAATGGAGGAAAGCACCGGGTGCTGATAAATTCTACGACTGCTCCTACGCATGGATTTGGGGGTGCCTATTGCCTGCTTGTGCTGTGATCTGCAAGTGAAGATTAGTGTTGCTTATTAAGAATTCATACAGATTAATTGGTGGTCAAATGGGATTTGAAAATATTAAATGCAGTTCTGGTTTTGTTATATTACTGACAAAAATGTTGGTAGAGAAGTAAGCAACATCATAATATCCTGCACAGGAATTATTATGTCTGTATAATGGATTTCAAATTATGCATTTGCCTACCTTACTAATGTCAGTTGTATAATATAGAATCATAGTCTAATGGATGGTAACATCGTATCTTATTATATAATTACCTTGTTTCTTCACTAGGTGCCTTCAGGGAAAATCACCCTTATGTTAGAAAAATAATAAAAGCCTATTGAAAGAAAGAATCCATTTCTTTCATTTTACAGTATAGGTTCTTTTGCTCTTAGAAAGTGAAGTTGATAAACAGAGGGTCTCAATACTCTTTATGCACTCATGTATTTAAGCCTTTTATTAAATTTCTCCTTATTTGTTTCTTCCCCATTCAATGTTTATTTTCATCTGTCTCTCTTCTCACCACAAACTTGAGGTGAGGAGCCCTAAATGGAACCTTCTCATTCCAGTGAAGGAGCCATCATCTGGCAGGTTGAAACTTAATGTAGTGAGAAATGACAAGAATGCTTTTTTAAAAAAGCACAGGAGTTTCTTCCAGAACCTGGGATCTAAGAATGTAGTTTATCTATAGACAGACCTTTCGTCTTATATTTTAATGTGGTAGTAAAGAAGGGGAATATTATTTGGAACTTATGGGCAATGAAAGGCAAGCTAGAGGCTATTGAAACACGTGATTTTAAAAAACAAGACTGAATTCTTCCATTTTTTACAACACATATGTTCATTGGATCATTATTAAGGTGTCTACAACAGGATACAATAGACTGGTTAATTTACAATGAATAGAAATATTTCGTACCACATTTCTTTCTTTTTTTTTTCTTTTTGGTACCAGGGATCGAACTCGGGTCCTTGTGCTTGTGCAGCAGGCGGCAAACCCACTGAGCTAAATCCCTGGCCCTTCATATCACATTTCTGAGGGCTGGGAAATCTCAGACCAAAAGGGCAAGATCTGGTGAGGATCTTCTATAGCACTGTCATCCCTTGATAAAGGGTAAAGAGAAGGAGGGAGGAAAGTAGGGGGAGGGAGAGCTTGCAAGGGAGACAGGGGGACTGAATTAGAGCTTTTATAAGGAACCCACTCCCACAATTGTGTCATTGCCCCACTTATAAGGGCTCAATGCTCATGGCCTAATCACTTCACTGGGCTCCACTTCCCACAGTTACATTGAGGATAAACTGCAGCATATGTTTTTGAGGGACACATTCAAATAACAGCATATGCTTATCTCTTTGAGTCACACTCCTGATTTATGCCTGTTGTCTTTGTTTATGATTAGCATCCTTTTTACCCTCCTGTATGCCCAGATTAAACAACAACTCACTTGGTCTGGCCAGTTTCTGTACCTTTTGTGTTGCTCTCCCCAGCTTTTTCTAATACACTTGTTCTTTCTCTGCTGCTGTCAAGCTTGGTATTGCTCATCAGTGGTTTTGTTTGCTTGCTTGTTTGTTTGTTTGTTTGTTTTTTCCGGTACCCAGGATCAAACTCAGGACCTTGCACTTACCAGGCAGGGGTGGCACCACTGAGCTATATCCCTAGCCCCTCATCAGTAGTTTGTTTCTACTAATTTATTTCTGTGCTTTATTAGTATTTTTAATATTTAGTTCTGTCTCACTCCTCTTCACTTAAAATTGCCTTTAGGAAATTAAATGAGCCCATGTTCCTTTCATTATTAGGGTCAACAGCCAGGACACGGAGACCTACACCAATGGGTCTTTGGAATATCATCTAGTTTCAATTTTTTTTTAATCTTTTCTTCTTCTCTTCCTGTCATCTCTTCTTCATCTATTCCCAACCCACCTTTTGACTGGTCTTCAAATTTTATCTTAACATCTTTCTAGCAGTTATTTTGTCCTGGGTCCTATCCAGGGGTGTGACTCTCATGTCACTTCTGTACTGAAACACTCTTTATCAAATTGTCTTTTCTCAGTTTACTGATTTCAGTTCCCCATGGGAGCACTGGAAGTAAAACTGAAACTCTGTAAAACTGTATTCTTTCCAGACTTCTTATAATTTTTATTCAATCATAGTGCATTGTATAACTCTGGTAAGTCTTTCTTGTCCTAAAGTCCTGACTGAGCTTTTATCAAGAAAACTTAAAGACAAATTGCTGAATTTCTGAAGGTTTTTATCATAAAGTTTTTTAAATGGGAAATTAAAGTTCTTAAAGTGTTATCAGTAGTTTGTTTGAATCATGCTATGCTCATTTCTGATTCCTACTAATATTCTTTTTCTCTAGTATTAAGTCAAGCCTAGACAATAATGTTCTAAATTGTAGTTAATAATATACTTGAGTTGTGGTTTCATATACCTAAGTTTAATAAAAATGAATTTTAATTTCATTACACGCATTTTAAGTATGTTTTAACTAGTTAAAACACTTTAACTTGAAAAGAGCTGAATGTATGTTGAAGACATTTTATGGCACACATTCAACATATGAAATTCTGCCTGTAATATCATTGTATTACAAAGAGCCTATGCAACAACTACTGTGAAAAACAACCCAAATGGGTCATGTGGAATAGAGTGCTTTTGCAAAGTTGCTGCTATGTACTGAGGTTATCACTCATGTTATATCTTGACAGAATCCCATATGTCCAGATTGCAATCCTATGGCATAATTAATTATGTAGCATCAGTTTTTCACTGCAGTGTTTCAGCAGTTATGACATGGACTGTTGCATGCCTGAATCTATTTAAATATCAGCCATTCCACGGTGTGTCTTAGTATACAATTTGTTGCTTTAAGAAGAAAAAACAGAAAAATGGGGCTTTATAATGAATCCTGTGATTGCAGTAAAAAACAGAGATTGTAGCCTGTATGGAGTCTGGATTCGTGCATCAAAAATGAAGTATTTGAGTAGATTTTTGTCAACTAACAAATGCCATTTCAGTCTGAGCATTTCCCCACCTCACTTTATGCCATCTGTCTCACAGGGAGCAATTAATCTGCAACTCCAATGTGCAGCATTAAAATTCCATTAACACTGGAGCAGAATATTAACGTGTCTGGCATTGCCATTTTCATCTCCCCAAATTCCAGTGTCAATTTTGAATAAAGCAGGTATAACATTTTAATCTATTCTGTTAATTGAGAATATTGAATAAAATATATAATTAGCGGCTCAAATTATGTAATACTACACCGACTTTAGTTGAATAACGCTGTATGTTTTGGCAACTTAGACATACATGGGCTACAGTTTTATACTATTCTAGTGATTATGTGGAAAGGCTCTAAATATTTGACAAATCCAATTTTCCCAAGGCTCTCACTTTCTAATTCCTTTTCTCTTTTACAGAACCACATCGCTGCCTTCGCGGAAGTCACATGATATTGAAGTAGATGGTTTTTCCCTGCATTGGACATCATCTCTTTTTACCATCCATTCATAACACCCAAAATTTGTTTGATTTTTTTAAAAGTTTATAACATTGTCTAATAATTTTTATAATTTTCAAATTAATTTCAGTGTATCTGTTTCCCCCACTAGACTGTGAGCTCCTCGAGGGCAGGACCGTGTCTTCCTTTTCTGTATCCCCAGCACCTATAACAAAACCTAGCACAAAGTAGGTGTTCAATAAAATGAGATGATCAAATGAACAAATTAATTCTTAAATCAAATTTTCACTTTAGTTTCTCAAAAATCTCTGAGACTGTAAAAAGAAACCTTGACATGAGTCACATTTGTATTAGAAAAGCCACTATTTGGGGCTAAACTTTTTAATTTTTCATATTATCTGTTCAGTAGCATATCATATATAAATTGAAGTGGACTTTGAAAGTCATGGGGGTTTTATTTTATTATTCAGCATGACATTCTCATTCTAACAGATTTCAGCGTGTGAAATTACTTTTAAAAACTATGTCCTATACTACTAAATAATGTTTGCACATTATATTATGCTATTTGTCACTTAAAATACCATTCATACTATACATTCGAAGACTGGTGCTTCTGCTTTTGAAGGGGAAAATGCCAATTTTTACTGTAATAAGTAATGTATCATAATTAAAAATTATTTATTTGGAGTTTTTCTCCTGACAGTTGTGGTTTAATTTTTGATTTGTAGTTTCTGAATGCTGGCAGTGTTTAGGATCAGTTAAATGAGTAAATCCAGCTGATTATGGAATAATTTTCCATTGACAACAGTGTCTCAAGTGTGGTCAATGGGTCCCATTCTTAGATATTTTTTACTGGGCCAGATTTTACATTATTCAAATGGGAAAGAACCACCCCGACACAATTTAAATTAGATAACTGCTAGAAATAGAATTAAAATATTTGACTTTGCCTTTGTTAGTGCTTTACAGTATGAAATACATTTGCTTTATGATTTCATTTAATCCTCACAATCACCCCATGTAAATATTACAAGTATGGCTTTATTTCATAGATGAGAAAAATGAAGCCAAGATGGGGTGAACAACATGCCTGATCCTACACAACTAGGAAAAGGCAGCGTCAAAACCAAATTTAGATATTATGACCCCAAACATTTCCAAGATGCCACAGCTGTCATGCGATCTTTGGATACCAAGGCCTTTGAGAGGTCATTAAGTACTGGGCAACTACCTATGTTTCAACAAATGCAGAAATACCAAAAGAGGGTTACAAAAACTGCTATATTTTAAATGTTTACTTTTTAAGAATGCACATTTTTTAAATACACAGTGACACAGTAACCTATTTGTAATCTGGTTTGTAAATAATTAATGTAGAAGGCCTGGATTGGAGGCCCTTTATAAATGAAGCCTGAACCAAGTGTCTTTCCTTCCACTCTCAACTCCAGACCCCAGACCCATTCAGAAGACCTGAGGGCCATGATTTACAATGAGCATGTGGAATTAAGGGTAGAAATTACCATAGAAAGGAAGACGATGAGCTCCTCAACAGTCTCCTTGCCAACTTTAAAGCTAACCTGATTAACTTTGTCTTATATGAGCAGCAATCAGTTGAAACAAATCTTTCTAGTCTTGAAAGAAAGTGAACTTTTAATTCATTATGTAATTCAAAAGAAATCAGAAAAAAAAGAAATATATATATATATAACCAAAATTCATCCATTGCTTCCAAAATGGATGTCACTTGTCCGTTTCCAAAGCTAGGCCTTAAAATATTTACTAGGGCCAAATAAAGTAAATTATATTTCTACCAATTTCAGGTCTCTATAGCAATTCAATTCTGTTGGAAATTTAGAACATGAAAAAGCTTTGAATGCTTTGACCCTCTTCAGAGAATAAGGTTTTAAATAATAACAGCAATGGGGAATTCAGTTATTGGCAGTGGATGTGAGGGGTGATCATAATGCTTTAGGAGGCTGGATCACCAATAAGGCTTCTAAAGTTTGATCGGTTCTATTGGTACCACATCAGCTTTTTAAGAATCCAAGCAGAAATATTTTCCTATTGGAAGCCTTAGCTATAAGTTAGTATGTCAGTGTTGTTATCTTTGTACCCTGCTAAACCTGGTCTGAATACAGGAGTTGTAAATTCTTCAAAAACCCAGGATGTAACCTGGAATCAGAGTAAGGTCACTTTTAATATTTAAACATCATGGATCCAAGATTGCTCAATGAATGATTCTATCATGAAGAAAACCAGGAAAAAAAGGAAGATACATGTGAATAAGGCAAAAGCCAGCCAAAACACAAAACCTTTAACCATGATCCTATTACCAAGAATAATGAAAAGTACATTTGACAAAAATTATATATGTATATATACCTATATATATATGGCAGGCAAACATATCTTTCTGATAAAGACATCCTTTTTATTCTATTTCCTTGGGGCCCAGGTCAGTATAAATTGATCAACCTGAAAATTTCAGTAGTGTCTGTTTGCATGGCAGAAATTCTGCACATGTTTTATCTGATTCCTAAGATAACTTAAAAGGCTCTTTTATGTTAAAAGAGAGGTGAACCTTCTTTGACAGACTTTGTCCACTCTACTTCTAACTGGGCCTCTCTTCTCAGGATATAGCTAGTCAAGTATCTCAGCTACATTTATCATAGAGTTTCCTTTGTGAAAAAGCAGTAGAGAGGGAAATAATTCTCTGCTGTGTATTGTATTTTTCAAATAAAATTTTAAAAATTAAATTAAAAATGATTTTTTCTTTGTGTGTTGGTCTGTACTGTGGATGGAGGAATAAAGGATCCTTGTGGGTTATTATTTACATACTTGTGTGGTCTACTGGGAAAATTCATCAGACATGTCTGCAGAGCCCCCACATCTGCCCCACCACCAACCCTTCTCCCCTCCCCAGAAATAATCATTAACATCCTTTAAAAAATCTACAATTTTTAAAATAAATGGCATCTTATGTATGTACCTTTAATAACCCACATTTTCAAAAAGCATGTGACTTGGAGAATGTCTCACAATTCTGGATGAATTCTACCAAATTCACCCCTTCCCACCCAAACTAGAACTAGTTGACATTCACACTTTTTTATTTTCTTGATCTTTTCATGTATTTATTTTTAAAATGTACTGTATATTTTTGCTGATTATGGTGATGCACGCCTGTAATTCCAGCACTTGGGAGACTGAGGCAGGAGGATTGTCTAGAATTCAAGACCAGCCTGGCCTGCATATTGAGTTCGAGGCCAGCCTAAACTACATAGCAAGACCCTGTCTCAAAAAAAAAAGGATACTTTTTGTCTATTAAGTCCTTAATAGCTCTTTTTGTCTATTACATTCATATATTTTACATAGTTTTCATCTGGATTCCTTATCTTTTCTTATGGAAGAGCTTTATCTTTTCTGAATATTTTTTGTCAATTTTCTTGCAAATATTTTCTCCAGCTAGCCATTTTTTAAATGCATAGAATCATGAGTAATATTACCATAAAGGCTTTTAAAATTAGTGTGTTAAATCAGTTTTTACTTTCTTTATGATTTTTGTGCCTTTCTTAGGATGGCTCTCTTCATCTCCATATTGTAAAAGTTCTCTTTCTCTATTACTTTATACTTGGATAAATTTATTTTTATTTTGTCTGTAATCCATTTGAAATTTCTTTTTATATACAATATGAGGTAAGGATCTAACTGTATTAGTAGCTGGGAAATCGATGTTGTTGGCATTTATTTTTTTAGAATTAATTTTATTGGTATACTTTTGATGTGCATAATGATCAAATTCATCATAGGGAATTTGTGCCTGTACATAATATATCTCAATTCTTTTCTTCCTCATTCCTTTCCCTTCCTTTCAGTCCTTCTTCCCCTCTCCCTTTAGAAAATTATGTTTCTATTGTTTTCCTTCTATATTTTTCATTTTTTATCCCTATTTTCCTTCCCTTTCATTTCTCTTCCCCCTTCATTTTTTCCCCTTCCATTTGAACATTTTCTTACTACTTCCCAATATCTATCATCTATTTTGGTCCTTATTTACCTTTTGGGTTTATTACACAGGAGAAACACTATGATAAACAGATGTCTGATTTGTTTCATAGAATCTAGCTTTTTACTCCTAATTTGAATTTCTACATTTATAATAATGAAATCCCAATTTATTCTTAGGTGTATAAATTTGAATCCTCTATTATTTTTCCTTTGATTTATTTAAGTGTCCCTGTGTTAATGCTGTACTCCTTAAATCAGCTTTGCTGTTTTCTTTCTTTCTTTTTTTTTGTACAGGGGATCAAACTCAGAACCTTGCGCTTATGAGGCAGGCAGCAGCACCACTGAACTAAATCCCTGACCCTGCTATGTTTTCTTAAATGATAGCAAAAGCTCTCCTCTTCCTTTTGAAGAAAATATTTATTGTTTTCCAGATAAACTTTTTTTTTTGGTACCTTTGAATCAGCTTGTCAAATTCCATTAAAAATATCATTGGCATTTGATTGAAATGCAATACCCAGATTAAGCTGTGGAAAACTACCCTTTCTACATTATTGAGGTCCAGGGATTGGGGATGTTTCCTCATTAGATCAGCAATACTTTAATGACTTTTCAGTAGTTTTATAGTCTTGTTCATAGATGTCTAGAAAAATATTAAATTTATATCTAAGTAACTTGCAAATTTTTGTTATATTGTGAATTATATCCTCATATTTTTGCTAGTTCTAAGTATTAGGTTTTGTAAACCTATTGAATTTTTTTAATTTTCATTTTGATTCTTGACTCCTCTTTTTGGTTTTTATTTTCATTATTATGCTAGTGATCAAACCCAGGCTCTCACACATTCTTCGCATGAACTGTACCTACTCAGCTAAATTCTCAGCACCTAAAACTATCTTTTTTCATTAGTTCGTGTTTGCAGTACATGAAGTTTACATTAATCATGGAGAGTAGGTACATGTACATAATATGTATAATTTGTTTCTTTTTGAAATCTCATTCCTCTTCCCACCCACCTCCCTTCCTTTTCCCTCTAAATCTCCTTCCCCAGTTTTCTTTCTTATTGATGTTATTAATCTTAACTCATGCTTATGACAAACAATGTTTATGTTTATTTAGGTTATGCGGTTCCTGTACATGGCACATCTTTTTTTTTTTTTTTTTGGTACTGGGGCTCAAACTCAGGACCTTGCACTTACAAGGCAGGCGGCGGCACCACTGAGCTAAATCTCGGCCTACATGACACATCTAAGTTCTTTCTTACCTTTCCCCTCTCTTAGTGCCTTCTGTCTCCTGAATCCCTTCCAATTTGCAAGAGATCTAGGGCCCCATTTCTTTCTATCTATCCATTATGATGCTCTTTGTCCTTTGCCTAACTCAAATGAGAAATACTATATTTAAGCTTGTGTGTCTGACTTCACTCCACATTATATACTTCTAGATGAATCCATTTTTCTACAAATGTCTCAAATTTATCCTTCTTTATAGCTGAATACTAACCCATTATAAATAGATACCACATTTTCTTTATCCATTCATCTGTTGATGGACATACTGGCTGCTTCGAGGATTTAGCCATTATAAATTGCACTATTATAAATAGTGATATACATGTATCACTGTAGTGTGATATCTTTAGCTCTTTGGGAAGATACCTAGAAGGAGAATATCTGGATCATATGGAATTTCTAATTTTAGTTCTTTGGGAAATCTCCACATTGATTTCCGTACTGGTCTTACCAGTTTACATTCCCACTAACAATGTAGGAGGGTTCCTTTTTACTACAGCCAGGCTAGCATTTGTTATTCTTTGATTTCTTGATGATTGCCATTGATGATTGTTGTAAGATGGAATCTTAGCATTGTCTTAATATGCCTTTCTTTAATGGCCAGAGATATTGTCATTTTTCATTTTTATTGGCCATTTGTACTTCTTCTGAGAAGTGTCTGTTCATTTTGCTTGCCCATTTCTTAATTGGGCCTTTTAAGTGGTCTAATTTTTTTTTGAGTGCTTTATATATTCTAAATATTAGTCCTCTGAGTAGAGCTGGCAAATTTTTTTTTCCATTCTGTAGGTTGTCTCTTCACTCTACTAATTGATTCCTTTGCTGTGCAAAAGTTTTAAAATTTGATATAATCCCATTTGTTGTTTTTTGCTGTTATTTCTTCTGCAATTGAGGTTCTGTTTAGAAAGTACTTTCCTATACCTATGACTTCCAAGTGGTTTACCTATTTTACCCATGATAAAAACCTTACAGAAAATTGGTATAGATGGACTTTATCTCAATTTGATAAGAGCCATCTATGACAAACCAACAGCCAGCACTATACTATATGGACAAAACCCGAAAGCTTTCACTCTAAAATCAGGAACAAGTCAAGGATGCCCACTGTTACCACTCTAGTTCAATATAATTCTGGAAACACTAGCCAGAGAAATTACACAAGAGAAAGAAATAAAAAGAAAAAAGATAGGAAAGGAAGAAGTTAAATTATCATTATTTGCAGATGACATGATACTCTACATAGAAGACCCCAAACACTCCACCAAAAGACTTCTAGATTTGATAACCAAATTCAGTGGTGTAGCTGGATACAAAGTCAACACTCAAAAATCAATAGGCTAGGCCCATGGATTTAGCTCAGTGGCACCACACCTGCCTTACAAGCACAAGGTCCTGAGTTCCATCCTTGGTACCTCCCAAAAAAATCAATAGCCTTCCTGCACATAAATAACAAGCCCACTGAGAGAGAAATTAGAGAAAGAATATCTTTCACAATAGCATCCAAAAAATAAAATACTTAGGAATCAATCTAACCAAGGAAGTAAAAGACCTTTATGTTGAAAACTACAGTACTCTGAAAAAGGAGATTGAAGAGAATATCAGAAAATAAAAATGATATCCCTTGTTCTTGGATAGGAAGAATTAATATAGTGAAAATGGCCAAACTTCCAAAATTGTTATACAGATTCAATGCAATCCTTATCAAATTTCCAACAGCATATCTCACAGAATTAGAAAAAACAATCTTAAAATTCATATAGAACCAGAAGAGACCTAGAATAGCAAAGACAGTTCTGGGCAACAAATGCAAGGCAGGGGGCATCACAATCCCTGACTTTATACTACAAAGCTACTGTGATGGAAAAAAAAAACACAACACAGCTTGTTACTGGCAAAAGAACAGACATGAGGATCAATGGAACACACTAGAAGATGGAGAAACAACTCCAGACATACTCGGCCACCTTATCTTTGACAAAAGAGCCAAACACCTTCACTGGAAGACAGCCTCTTTAATAAACGGTGCTGGAAAAACTGGCTTTCCACATGCCAAAGATTGAAACTAGATCCATATCATTCACCATGCACTAACCTAAAATTGAAATGGATTAAAGATCAAAATATTTAAATGGAAACACTAAATCTTTTGGAAGAGAGAATAGGTAGAACTCTTGAGGACATTGGAGTAGGCCAAGACTGCATGAACAAAACCCTGACCACACGGGAAATACTACAAAGAATCAACAAATGGGAGCTCATATTATTAAAAAGCTTTTGCAGAGCAAGAGACACTACCAACAGAGTGCAGAGACAACCAATCCACAGAGTGGGAAAATTTTTTTTACCAGCTATTCATGAGATAAAGGACTATTATCTAGAATGTAGAAAGAATTCAAAAAAATCCGATCCCCCAATTTAAAGACCC